AGTTTTCAGCTGTAAACCAAATCTGTCTGTAGTTTCCCAGGTATATGCTCTGCATTAAAAATATATCTGCTTACATACATCCATATGCCCAGGATTTCAGTACATTGGACCAAACTCACCCCTGAATTATATGCCACTGACTTCTACAGAATCTCCTAGGAATATACATAAGTGCATGCAAAACTAGATCCATAACAGCTGCATAGTCTACTTTCTTCTCATTCATTTAATGGATTTTCCTTCCACTTGGTCCCATTCTTAAGTCTTTGACTTAAGGTTAGAGCGAGGTAAATTATTTGGAAACATCTCATGCTTACTGATCTTCATTCACAGCATAAATTACACAATGCAGTCATGTGAGGTGAAAGAAGGAATTTTGTTAATATCTTATTTAAATACTAATTCACAAGTTCTAAAGATGCAGGCACCTTTATCGCTTGTGTGTTTCTAAAACATTTTAAAACTTTGATGGGGCACAAAATCTTCTATTCTCTTCTGAGAACTAATATTTTTTTAAACACCACACTGGTTCCCTTTTCTTTCCAGTTTCTTTGCTGTTTCCAAATAGATCTTTATGGCTSTATGCATTCAAGACAGTTATGCCATGAAATTCACTGGAATGCCATCAGACCTATTTTTTTAGGACTTTCTAGCTGCATAAATAAAAAGTCAATTATCTGAATACATTAGGCATAGAAAGCAACATGCAAACTCATCTGTAATTAAGGAAAAATGATAAGTCAAACWGCAGTTTCAAACAATTCAACCAGCAAAGAACAGAAGTCCATAAATATATACAAAAAAACTGCATCAGTTTTCATAGATTGAAGCTGGAAGAATCAATTATAATATATTAGTTTCTATTTCATAACAATTATTGTATTTTTTTTATTTATCAAATGTAATCCTTTCGCAGATGATCTGCTTACACAGGTGTAAATTTGTTGAATCTGACAGTTTCCTATCTCGCTTGTATCTTGGGCTTTTGTTTTGCACCTTCCAGAAACCTGCACTGCTCTGCCACCTAGTGCTTTGAAGGAGGGTATTTTACATCAAATGCCGATGCTTACCGGCATAGTGAGTTCAGCAGAATAATGACTGCGCAGAAACATTGTATTAACATTTCCTTGCTAAATGGGTGATTAAARAGAAACGTGGTTTATCAGCCTCTAAGGATATCGTAATTGATTATTGCCAGAGATCGTCCCTATGCCTGCAGATCTTAGTTATATAGAAAACTGTTTAGCAACCTGCATCCTTGTATTTTAGGACATTACATAATCTTTATGGATCTTTCTAAAATGTAAAGTAAATTAATTTTTACATAAAATCCTTATTRAAGAAAAATTGTAACCAAATATCACATATATTTAATGATATTAAATTTTCTGACAAAAAAATGTCTATTTCAACTTCTAGCAGGTACCCAAAGAATCAAAATGAAATTACTAGCACATAAAATTTGTTTGTAAATGGATTCTAAACCACAGCATTTGCAACAACCAGCTTGCCTTTTGTTAATTTTAATTTACACTGTTTCCAAAAGTGTATGTTCCTATATTAGCATTAATGCAATTTATATTTCTTCTAAAATTACATATAAAGTGGGCTTATTGCAAGTAACAGACCAGGCAACATATTTTAGAGGAATTTTTATTTTTTACAATATTATTTGAAAGTAATGGAGCTTTGCATTGTCAGAGATAACATGTCAAAGCTATGAAAGTTTGCTCTTCTGTTGAAGGAAAGGTAATTCAAACACACTGAAGATAACTTCTTCCATGGAAAATTAACTGGTACTACAGCAATTACACACACAAATCTTCAGTATTTATCAGTTGGTTCTAATTTCTCTCTTAGACACCATGAATATCAGATGACCTTCCCCTCACATTACTCAGAAATGACTATGCAATATTATCAAGCATCTCYTCTTGTCTGGATTGCATAAATGCAGAATTAACATCAACTGTATGGCTGTGAAATGAATCACAGAATAGTTGGGGTTGGAAGGGACCTCTGGAGATCATCTAGTCCAATCCTKCTGCTAAAGCAGGGTCACCTATAGCAGGCTGCATAAGATTGTGTCCAGGCRGGTTTTGARTATCTCCAGTGAGGGAGACTTCACAACCTCYCTGGGCAGCCTATTCCAGTGCTCAGTCCATCCTCATAGAAAAAAAGTTTTTCTTCATATTCAGATGGAACTTCCTGTGGTTCAGTTGGTGCGTGCTGCCCCTTGTCCTGTTGCTGGGCACCACTGAAAAAGAGTTGAGCCCCATCCTCCTGACAGCTTCTCTTCAGGTACTTGCAGACATTGATAAGGTCCCCTCAGTCATCTCTTCTTGAGGCTGAACAGGCCYCGCTCCCTCAGCCTTTCCTCATAAAAGAGAATGTCCAGTCCCTTAATGATCTTTGTTGAACAATGACTGGACCCCCTACCGACCTCTGGAGAACACCTTTAGCTGCAGGCCTCYAGCTGGACTCTGTGGGGATTATCACAACAGTCTGGGATCTGGAATTCAGCCAGTTCTTGCTTATGACAACACTGAAAACAGTGTCAAAAGCCTTGCTGAAGTCCAGTTAGGCATTATCCACTGCTTTCCTCTCACCTACAYAGCCAGTCATTCCATCAAACAAGGATGTTAGTCAAGCATGATTTCCCCTTGGTGGATCCATTTGACTAGTTCTGATAACCTTTTTAGTCTGCATGCCTAGAGATGACAACCAGGCCTTTCCATCATCTTTCCAGGGATTAAGGTGAGGTGAACTGGCTTATAATTTCCTGGGGCATGTCCTCCTTCTTGCTCTTTTGATAGTTCTTTGAATTCTCATGTACCTCTCTATGATCTTACAAAAATGATGGAGAGTGCTTTAGCAATAGCATCTCCCAGCTTCCTCAGCGCTTGASGGTGCATCCCATCAAGGCCCATGGATTTGTGGGTGTCAAGTTCGCCTTGTCACCCACAACTCTAACCTGACCCTCCTCAACCAACACAAAATCTTTTCTCCAGATTCTCTTGCTTGCCTGCAGGGTCAGGGAATCAATCCTGAAGGCTGCCTTAGCAGTAAAGTCTAAAACAAAAATAAACATTCCATAATGCCGCCATCTCTGGATCCTTTGTCACAATCAGTAGCAGGCCCATGTTTTCCCAAATCTTATTGCTACTGATGTACCTGAGGGAGCTCCTGTTGTTGTCCTTGATATCTCTTGCCAGATTTAATTCCAAATGAACCGCAGCCTTCCACATCACATTCCTGTATACTCTGAAAACATGTCTACATCCATCCCAAGTGTCCAAGCACCCTGCCCCTTTTTTCCACAAATTTCCATAAACTTTCTTCTTCTCTGTTTTACCAGAAGCTCCTTGCTCATCCATGCAGGTGTCTTGCCCCTTTGCTTGATTTTGTACCTGTAAGGATGCACTGATTTTGATCTGGAAGGAAGTGATACTTATTCAGCTTGTATCCCTAGAGAACTGYCAAAAATATTAACATATATCAAAAATATTAATATATGTCAAAATTATATAAGTATATAAAAAATATAGGAAGGTGTAATTGCCAATTGCACTTAGTTGCTTTTAATATATTAATATATTGATATTAATATAGGCACCCAACCATAGTATGTGGACAAACGAAGACCCACACCTCTCCCTAAAATAAATTGTCCTGTGGGTAAGGTGTGTATGTATCTGACTTACTGTTTGGCTAATCTCACCTCTGTCAGTCTCATCCCATGCCACACTGCAAAGTTAGCTTTCCACTAAATATCCTGCACTTCTGAACAAGTGAAAAACAGACATGACTAGACTAAATCCTGTTTCAACAAATCAAAAGGACTTAGGCTGTTTGCTTGGATACCACCAACTGAATGGCATCAATTTACACTTACCAGTTGCCATTATTCTCTTACTTTCTGGAGGAAAGGTAGTATCTCCACTAACATCTGTTACTACCAGTTATGCTTCAAAGCATGGCATCTAGAGCAAGGAAAGCCAAAGTGAAGCATTACAGCACACACCAGCCCACTCCTTGAGCAAGCTCAGCCTGCAAATGAAGGCTACTATGGAAGGTGTGGTCCTGTGTCCTCCACTTTCATATTCTTACAGTCCACACTGCCACTTTTCTGACCCTGATGGAAGATCCCTACAGTGAGATCCCCACCAAAAAATCAAGCTGTAGAAAGCCAGGGAAAAATTCTAAGTCAGCACAGCTCCCCGAATCAGGAAGCAAAGGAGCACATACACTCAAGTGCCAAGGAAATGGAGGGACAACCCAGACGGGATTGGAGCGGGTTTGCATTTTTTGGCAGCAAATAGCTACCAGGGTGGCTGAGCCACAATACCAGTGTATGTGTATGCTGAAATCCCAAACAAAAACTGAAAACAGTCATAAGCCCGAAATGCAGTGGTGCTGCTCTGTGGCTAAAACCAAAGTGAAAACCAACAGCAAGGTGCTGCAACTGCACTGCTGCAGGGCACCAATGAACACTGAAGGCAGAGCCATCCCCTTTCTGCCAAGGACTCCAGCCAAAGGCACTGTGTCTGTTTGTGGTTTTCCAAGCATACACAGACCATGCAGACTACTGAACAGCAGTGGCTGCAAAAAGCCAGCTTTGACCCCTGTCAGATTTACAGATTTCCAGTCATTACATGTCGATTTGGTTTTTTGCTCAAAAAATCAYGTGTACTTTAAGGAGTGAAAGGGAAGTTTCCACTTCCCTTTAAGGCACAAAACTATCTTGTATACTAACAGCAAGGAACACTGAACCTTGGTCCAGTGAAGAAAAAATGCAAATACTACTTGGCAACACTATTTCACTCGAACCTAGGACGATCACCAATTATCTGAAACAGCAGCATCATGCAGAGATCCAAACGAAGGAAATAACCAAATAACTGCATATTTCCTTGCAAATATCCTTTGTTTCTAATTAATATTGCTTTTCAACATTTTTTCCTGCTCCAAAAGAGTAGCAGCCAAAATCAGAAAGCAAATTTCCCTGGGACACTTTAACAAACTTTATTGTACATCCATGAATGTGTTTTCCCTTTGTTTAAAAGATGTTATTTACAAAACCAGAACATTAGCATACAAATTATTCAGTGTACTGTACACAGATGTCCAAATCCAGATGTATAACTGAGAAGCATTTCCCACTGCATGCTAGAGAAACAATACCTGACTGTAAAATCATATGGCATGACACAATATTTAAGTAGGCTTCCCAAAAGTTCAGAGGAGTTCTGTTCACACTGAGAGAATGAGAAAAACATTCTTGAAAATAATTTCTCTTCCTGCAGCAATTTTCTGCTACCGTCAATTCTACAGCATCAATTTTGAACAAACCAAGAAGGACGCTTCCTGGCTCTTTCAATGATCCGTTTGCCTTTATCTTCTTCTGTGGGCTTTTCTCCTTCATAAAGGACAACAGTCTCTACAGTTGGAGCATTAAATGGTCCTTCTTCCTTTTTATGAATTTCCATCCGTATCAGTCGAGTTTCTGCTTTGACCTTTGCGTAACAATAGCCACAAAGGACGTGTTTCTGCTTCAAGTTTCCACACTCAGGACAGACATCTATGTTCCTCTAAAACAACAGTTGAAAACAGGAAATTTTGTAATGTGAACAGCAGCAACAAAAGAAACAGGGAGCAGCTACAAACTAATAAAAATGTTAAATGAAATAGCAAAGAAATTCAACTGCCATTTCAAAATCTATTCTTCTATGTAATTTTTCTGTAATGTGATGCTATGTCAAATGCTTACTACTAACAGCATGTGAAGTCAGTATCTAAATCATTATGCCTATTGATGTTTGGAAGATTAAAAACCTATGGACTCAATTGATGCACAGAATGCATAGRACTATTCCACTTACATTATCTGTTCAGCCAAAATTCACATTTTGTTGGCTTGCACCTCAAATGCCACTTTATTAAAACTCAAGACTACTGTCACACATGATGAACATACCTGTTACAAWGGATTTTTAACATTACAGTATCTTACAGGCTTATTTAGTTATAAACAAAGTCCAGAGAGCTTTTAGAGTCAGTACTTCCCTCTCAATGATTCTCCAAAATAAGAACTTTGTGGGTTACCTTTACTTCTATGAGCTTGTTGGGATGCCTCCGCCTGCAGCGGTTCACCTCGATGGTGCGTCTTTTCTTGGGTGCTGCCATCCACAGGATGCTCTCCAGCAGGCTGGGCGCCTTGGTGCTACTCTCGCCAGCATCATTTATCCCTTGTGGGAGAAGAGCTGGACCTTGCACAGCTAGTGCTGGCTCTGCAGCAGAAAGAAAAAGAGGGGGGTGATCATCCCACTCTGAACTGGTGCAGCCTCCCCTTGAATAATGTGYGCAGTTTTGGGCACCACAGTGTAAGAAAGATACAACGCCGAGATACAAAGAGAGCATCCAAAGTGGGGGTGACAACGATGATGAACAGCCTTGAGTGGAAGCTGTAGGAGGAGCAGCTGAGGTAATCTGGTCTGTTCAGCCTGGAGGAGACTGAGGAGAGACYACACTGCAGTCAACAACTTCCTCATGAGGGGAAGCAGAGGGACAGACACTTATCTCTTCTTTTTGGTGACATGACTCCAGAGAATGGCATGAAGCTGAGTCAGGATATTGGGAAAAAAGTTCTTCACCCAGAGGATAGCTAGGCACTAGAACAGACTCCCCAAGGAAGTGATCACAGCTCCAAGCCCGATAGAGCTCAAGAAGCATTTGGACAATGCTCTCAGGCATGTCATGGCATTGTGAGGCATTACATGGTGTAACTCTGAGGACTGTCCTGTGCAGGGCTGAGTTGCACTTGATGATCCCTTCCGACTCAGCATAACCTGAGATTCTGTGAGAAAGAAATTCCTTACAGCCAAGCCCCATTTTCACAGGCGGTCGAGGAAACACAACACGGATGCTGCCAACACCCCCGAAGCAAGGGCACAGCGGCGCCTCAGCCCAGCTCCCTCACTGACCCCACGGTCGCGCCCTCCTGCCCCACTGCTCTCCCTCCCTCCGCCGTTCAGGGGTAAAAYGAATCCCGCAGCTCCGATGCCACCCTCTCACAGAATCACAGAATCGATGGCGTTGGAAGCGACCTGTGAGATCATCTACTCCAAACCCTTCCCAAGGTAGGTGACACAAGAACACGACCAGCTCCTTCAGCTGGGCGGAGAACAGGCCGGGACCTACCCCAGGCCGGGCACTGGCCCCTGAAGACACCCGGCCAGAGGCCGCGATCCAGCCGCCCCCAGCAGCGCTGGAACAGAGCGCGAAACCGTGGAAGCGGAGAGCACACCACCATCACCAGCGCCGCCATARCCCCACCCGGCCCCGCCGAACCCTGAGGAGAGACGCGCCTGTCGCTGAGCCTTCTGGGAAACCGAGTGCCATCAGCATGCCATGACATTGCAGGGACCGAAGAACAGGACTCCAAATCCCAGCATTGCTCTCGCCATCAGCAGGAGGGGCGGCGGAGGGCGCATGGAGGACTCCAACTCCCAGCATGCCTTACGGCGCGCCTGTCCGCCAACCGCGTCTYGTCACGCTCACCGACGCGCCACCACCCCGCCAATCAGTGCGCTCGCTGTGCCTTCTMGCTGGGAGCTGAAGCGGCGTTTGCGCCTGCGCTGACGAGCCGGCGCGAGGAGTGTAGGGGCTGGTGCCAAAATGGCGGAGCGCGGCTACAGCTTCTCCCTGACCACCTTCAGGTGCCGGGCAGGGGCGGCTGCGGGCCTGGGGGACAGAGGCAGGCGAGCTGCCGGGCCAGCGGGAGGGCGGTGCGCAGCCTGAGCGGAGCGACGTGCCGGCTGCGGTGCGGCAGAACCGAGGGGACGCTTTGCAGAGTCATCGGGCCTGCGATCGCTGGGGGGCAGCGGGGGCTGGATCTAGATAGAAGGGACAGACTTGGGGAGAGCGGCGGGGATCAGGCGGTTCTTCCTTCGCCCGAGGGAGACTTGAAGCTWCCCAGAGGCTTCCTGAAGGGCTGAGGGGAGAGTCCTGGGTCCCACGTAGTGTTTGTCCCTGACTTCGGGCGCCAGTGCAAGCGCTGCTTGTGTCTCCTCCTTGCTGTGAGACAGAGCTGCTGTAGAGCCAAGTTAAGGTCTGTCTCGACACTCGTAGTACCGTACAGCGAGTGCTTGCTTGGCTTAGTAAACTCGGGATCCCCCCCCGCCCCACTACAGGCTGGATAATTCTGTGGCTCTAAGCTAACTGGAAATTCATGATGGCATCTGAGCTGTGGTGTCTTGCTTCAGAACAAAGTTTGCAGATGAGGGAATGAATGAAGGAGATGARTTTTAAAATAGTTTGTCTTCCTTCCTTCTACACTTGCAGTCGCTGCTCTCCTTGCACTTGGTGTTGTACACAGCCTGAGTGTGGAATGACTGCATGCACAGAGTGAATATTCTATTGTAGTGTAGTATGTTGGGGTATTGCTCTAATACATAGACTGAAGATTAATTCAGAGTAAAGGAAAGTACTTCCCATTCATTTTTTGATGTAACTGTTAAGGTATTCAGATCTATGTCGTATGGACACAAGAATCTTTATGGTGCTTGGGGTGAAGCACTTCCTTAAACAGAGGAGAGTCACACTGTGTAATTGCAAAAGGGATTGCTGAAGGCTTGTTGCATTTGAGCAATTGAAGCAGTTCACAACTTAAAATGATGAAAAGAATGTTTTTAATGGATGGAAGCAGCTCAACATGGCTTGCTCTGCTCATGTAGATTGAACTCTTTATTAGCCTTTGGAAATGGTTTCCTAAGGGAGTTACAAACATTTTGTAATTTACAGAACCACTACATGCTTGGAATGATTGTTCTGATGTGTTACATTTTGTARTGGAAAAGCCAGAATTATTACTTTGTCACCCCTATTTCCTCAGCGTGTAAATGACTACACTGATTGATTATTGCTTGCTTTGTTTCTTYATCTAAGCACTTAGTTACATAATTTCCCATTTTACTTCAGCAATTATTAGAGTAGCAGTGTCTGAAATGCAGCCTAGAGAACAGATCCACTTGCAAAATCACTTGTGCAGTGAGTGGCTGCCTCTGGTATCCTTTCTCCTGGGGATAGAGAATGGACTCTCTCCTCAATAAGTTACTTTGTAACTTATTTTGCTTGCACTTACAGCTCTTTTCTGATGATTCTGCTTCCATTACCAGAATGATATGGATTGTTAAAACAAAATGCAGGAATACCCAGTAATGGAATGGGAGTTGTCTCTKTCTTGTGCCGTTGACCTCATGTGCTTGTCAGTCAAAAAGCATAGCTGTGTTTTGCTGATGCTTTTCAGCAGTGAACATCAGTGTCTTGAAAGCCTTTGGAAACCACACATACAATGTAATTTCAATAGAAAGTCAATACACCCCGTTGAAGATTTTTCCCACTGAGTGGAGAACTTTATTTTGCATCTTTCTTTTTAGTCCTTCTGGMAAGCTTGTTCAGATTGAATATGCTTTGGCTGCAGTAGCTGCAGGAGCTCCATCAGTTGGGATTAAAGGTATGTCCCGAAAGTATTTTAGTGAAGCATTTGGGGTTTTGACCAGTTGAGAGAACTAAACCAATTTGGATCATGTACTGGGTCCTTTGTATTGGATCATTCTTTATCTTTCTTTCTGTTACATATTTAGTTACTCTTTGAGTCGATTTTCACATGTTTTAATAGATTTAATGTTTCCTGGGGTTCTTTTTTTGGGTGATTTTGGACGCATTCAGCTGATAGAATGTTTGGTTTTGGTTATGCATGTCTTTGAGTCTTCTTGTCCTTATATATTAAATTGCACACCAAAAAAAGTTACTTAGATGGCTCAATTATTACTGTTATTCAGAATCTTTAGAATGGGACTATGGGAACTATRTAGTTATTTGAAAAAGAAACAATGTGTTGGGTGGATTCATCAAAGTATCTCTGTTTAACCTGATTGTAAGCTTGACTGGCTTTTAAAAAGAGAGGAAGAAAATTTTTGCAGTTTAATAAGCTTGTTCTCTGTTTTGGCTGCTAATTTTAGTTTAATGTTTAAAAAGTTTTCTTTTTCTTTTCCAGCTGCAAATGGGGTGGTGTTGGCAACAGAGAAGAAGCAGAAATCCATTCTGTATGATGAAAGGAGTGTCCACAAAGTAGAACCAATTACCAAACATATAGGTTTAGTGTACAGTGGTATGGGTCCAGATTACAGGTATTAAAACATTTTGTTTGATTACCATTTAGATGCATATTCATACAAGAAATTTAAGTAACAGGTAGCTGTTTCTTTCTAAGTGTATGTCATAAGACTATGTTGTATTGTATTGTAAATTACATTTTCTTGAAATTTTATCAATATATTCAGTAACTTGCCAAATAGCCCTGTATCTAAAAAATGAAATCTGTATAATTCAACTTTACTTTCAGTTTAAATATTTCAGTGATTGCTTGGTTGATAGAGATAACTCAGCACTGTCTGTTTTCTTACACTGATSTTATGCCAGATGTACGAGTCCTGAACACATACTTGTTATTATGAGTTTTCAGTTCTAGTTGGAATTTTTTTGGCATAGTACTTTTGTCTTTGTTTTCAGAGTACTTGTACACAGAGCTCGGAAGCTGGCCCAGCAGTATTACCTGGTTTATCATGAGCCCATCCCAACAGCTCAGCTAGTACAGAGAATTGCTTCTGTGATGCAGGAGTACACACAATCTGGGTACGTGCTGGAGTTGCAGGGTTGCTTAGAAAGATTGTGATGTTTAAATGTAAAAAGKAACAGCTACCCATTAGAGTTTTTGTGGAAAAGGCAGTTTTTCAGTGGAGAATGTGCACAGAAGGTGGGCAAAATAGGAGGAGCCCTGACTGGCAGTGGGTGTGAATGGGTCTCCATATCTTGCAAACAAACATGTCAGCCAAGGCAGGACACTTTTGGTTTTGATCTGTTGGTTGACTCATCATTCCTCATCAGTGCTGTGGTCTGGAGAGAAGGCTAACACATCCAAAATATTAGTCATCTWTGACTCTTCACTGGATAATTTATTATTTTTTGTTTGCTTGTAGTGGTGTTCGTCCCTTTGGTGTATCACTGCTTATATGTGGCTGGAATGAAGGGCGGCCATATTTATTTCAGTCAGATCCATCTGTAAGTATCTTGTATTTGTAAATTCTGCTGCTTTGATAAAACGTGAAACTTTGCATATGCTCATGAAATACTTTCTGTGATGAGAAGAAAAATACAGAGCTACAATGAAAGATACCCTAACATAATTTCTGAAGTCAAAATGGGTCATTTCAGTARGTGCTTGGAGCATGCCTGCATTGTTCTGTGCTTACATGGTCCTGTACTGCTTGAGGGATGGCAGCTGTTTTTGAGGGAGATCATCCTTTTTCATATCTTTCCACATAGTTGATAGTGCGAGCAAAAATGGCATTCTGCAACAGCTRCTAGGAAAAAAAAATTGACTACTTGTACTGCTTCAAACTGGATAGAAGTTAAGCCAAAACCAGTTGCATTGTGAATTGTAATGCATGTGCTTTGGTATTTAATGACAGAGGTTAATTTAAATCGTTTTATTTGCTGGGTTTGCACTGCACTTCAGAAAAAACTATCTTTTGATGCACATGTGAAGTGCAGTGCTTCAGACGAAAAATTGAGGTCACTGTAGTGATCACTGAAACTTTCAGCAGTTTGATTTACTACCTGATGCTCCAGTGTAAAAAGCAGAATGCAGATGTCTTGTTTAAGGCAGTTTGATTGAGGCACAGAACTGCTGCCAGTCTTACTGCCAGAGGAGGGAATAGAAGTTATGATGAAATATCCTGGTGGCTGATCAATCAGATGGATGATTTGTAACAAGTACTTACATTATTTTATCTTCAGAAAGAAGGAATATGCAGAGTGAGCCTCAATAAGGATTTGAGCATACACTTTCTCAAAGGCAAATATACCATTTCTGTTTAAGGAATCCCAAATCAAAACTATGCTAATGACTTACTAAATTCATCTTTCAAAGTAGTGGGAGGATGAAAATAGGTGGGGCCCTATACACATTTTGCATGGTTTCACAGCATATGTTCCCATAACAAATTAGTTTGAATATCATCCAGAATTGTCTCCTGTAGTCTCAGAACATTCAGTATTTCGATAATTGCTTCTGTACTTTATTACCAAGTAATGGAATGTTTCCCTAAGTTACACAAAACAATTCAATCAATAAATTGTTGCTTTTGCAGGGAGCTTATTTTGCATGGAAAGCAACAGCAATGGGAAAAAATTACGTCAATGGGAAAACATTTCTTGAGAAAAGGTAATGTATTTGATCCTTCTCTGAAAGGATACTGGGTTTTGTTCAGGTTCCATGTAAAACGGCCAGGTTAAAAGAAATGCACACTTGTAAAATTATCAGAACAAAGTTTTAAAATACTTAAGATGGGATGCTTCCAGTGTACTTATTTACACATGCACAGGAAGTTTCATTTACACTCCAACTTTTGTGTTTATGTAGAATTTACTTGAATGAAATAAACGTTGTATTTAACATATTTGCAGCAATATTTTATACAGTGTCAGTAGGAAAAGTAGGGACTCTTAACAAATAACTTTGATTATTAATGTTACAGCACTTACAAATAATATTTGTATGAGAAACAGAAATATTTTAGTCGTTATGGGGTTTTTAGAGACCCAGGATTTTTAAAATTTGTAAAGGTCTTTCTCCTATGCTGAAATTAATGAATGTCTATTTACAGATACAATGAAGATTTGGAACTTGAAGATGCCATTCATACAGCTATCTTAACACTAAAGGTTAGCAAAATATTTAAGGAAGAAGTTTCTTATGTCTTCATTGATATGATTTCACTGAACTGTWTTTTCTTTAATAGGAGAGCTTTGAAGGGCAAATGACAGAAGACAACATTGAAGTTGGCATCTGTAATGAAGCTGGTTTTAGGAGGCTCACTCCAACTGAGGTTAAGGACTACTTGGCTGCAATAGCCTAGTGGAAACCACCCAGCTAGACTGTGTGGTTCACACAATGGTCTTTTTAATTTTGGCTACTTAAATGTTTTTCTTTGCAGTTTTTGCATACTTATTTCTACATGGTTTGTCTGAGAGATTTTTTAAACATCATGGGTGCAAATACAATGGTCCTTGATATTGTAATACATGGAATCTTGTTAAAGATAATTATTTCCCGTGATACATGAATTATTGTACAAAATGTAAAGTTATAGTGACAGCTTGAAAAAGGCTAAAGAATAAAATCAAAGGCCACTGTTTTGGGGGAAGCTGTCTGTGTGTCTTTTTAATCCTAGTTTGTGTATCTGCAGAAAGCTTAGATTTCAGTATCCTTATTGTTGAGGAAACAATTTTTCACATACAGCCACAATGAACTTATGTTCAACCTTCTTTTAAAAAATATAAATTTTGAGTGGTAGGATAGTTTTTTCACTTTGAAATATTGTTTAAATGTTAATTATCCTCCAGAAATGGTTTTATATGGTGTAAAAGATCATGTAGTCTCACAAAGGGGCAGAAGAGTCTTCCATTTCAGGTATGAACTGTGATCTACTTGTGCCTCTGCTTTTGACCCTCCTGGTCTTTGTGTCACAAGAACTTGTTCTCTATTACTTCAGTTATTCTCGTAGAAAATAGAAATTGCACTTTTTCAACCTTGAAATATTGTTAGAAAATGTAGAAATAGTAACTCTTACTGAAAACTAAAAACTAAAACTAAACCATCAATAAAAATCTATGGGAGTTACAAAATAGAATGAGAGTATGTAATGTAATTACTTTATCCTTTCAATTGTGCTAAACTATTTTCCAACTTGCAAGATAATTCTAAAGATGTAATGAAATGAGCATTTAATTTATGCATCATAACTTGTACTGATATTGCAGTGTGGAGGTGTATGTATCAATACATTAGTTACACACATAGAGTCATTMAAGTCATAAAAACCTACATCTACCACAAAAGAAACAGGATAAATACACATTTTTTTTTCAACAGAAATAATCTGGTCTGTGGCCATTTAAGTTATTTTCAGATTTTATATTTTTTAAAGCAATCTAATTGTTAAAATGTTGATAATGAACTGGGAGCAAAGCTGGGTCACTCTGCTTGCATGTAAGGCTAAGGATGTAGGGGAGCAGCCTTGCAGGTCACATGTCAGCCAGCCATTWCTGGAGAAAATACAAAATAGGAGTAGAAAGCAGTGTATAAGCTGATTGACCTGTGCTTTCCAATGTCTGTCTTCTGATGGTTTATGTTATCAGCAAGTGAATAAGAATTTCTGAAGCATGCCACAAATGAAGTTTTATTCCTAATGTCAGAAATAAAAGCTCTGTCCAAATGGTTCATTAAGAGTTCTGCTAGATCACTTTTTGAGTATTTTACTCTGAAAACCAGGCCATATTCTGATTCCTATTCTAGAGAAAATAAAACAACTCAGATCTGAAACTGAAGGCTTCATATTGCTGCATCTTCAATTTAGAATATTTATGCACATTTAGTTTTTTAATGCTATATAAATATACATAGAAGGAAATATACATGGAAAAATGTGTAGGTATTTCAGAAATGAACTGCAGTGGTTTAGTTGTCTCTGCTACTAGAAACAGTTGATGAGCAAAAAACACTGTGAAGGGTAGTTAAAACCAAAGCAAGTTTCAAACCATGGGAAACTACTTGTTTTGTGTTAAAGGAGATGAGTAGGTCTTTATGGTCTACTACCAGTGTTTTGCACTTTCACGAGCCACAAGCTGGTAACTGTTTTTACGCTGTTTTTTTGAGAACAGTCCCAAAGCTCTCTGTTAATACTTAAACCCTGCAGTGAACCAGTTCATGGCATTTGGTGTAATTTGGAAATGATATGCATAATATTTTGAATTCTGCCTTTATTTAGAGTATTTCTTAGAGATAGTTAGACCTTGATACTACAGTGTTCTCATGGGGAAGGTGGTGTGATCCCAAGTGTGGGTTTGTTTCTTTAACTTCTTAATCCTGCAYTGCCATTGCCATACTGAGATGACTGCATGTCTAGAATAGTAGCTAAATTTTATCTAGTATTTAAAGGGAACTTTTAAACTTCAGGGAACTAAGTAACATACTTTTAAATTTAAAGTCTACAATTTAAGGAAATAGTAATTTTAACTTGAGAATGTATTTCTTAAATAAAATCACTTCAGGAGAGAGTGATACTAGTACAAAGGACTAACCAGTTGTATGGTGATTGTGGTAATTTTCAAAAAGTGCACCCTTTAGTTACATGAGTTTGGGTTTTTTATATTTTGTAAAAACTGTATAAAAGGGTCAAGACAAAATAAGACAAGTACTTCCTTTGTGAGAAATTACAAATTGCAGGCTTGATTATTTCAGGTTGCTGTGAATTATGACTGCTTCATTTAGCTTATCCCTACTAAKGCAGTCATCTGAAAGAAGAAAAAGAGACAGTGGTCACTTGAAGCATGTAAGGTTGATTTGCTTGTCTTGGAAGAGGATCTGCTCCTGAGTACTCAGGATAGTGTGACACCTATGAGAATTGAGCTTTATTTAATGTGTAGGATTGGGATGTGAGAACAATATTATTTCATGGAATTATTACTTTATGTCACAGGACAGAATGGGTCAGGTTGACAGGGACCATAATGAGTCATCCGGTCCAACCTCCCTGCTCAAGCAGAATTATCCTAAAACACATGGCACAGCATTGTATCCAGATGGTTCTTGAATACCTCCAGTTAGGGAGACTCCACAACCTCTCCAGGCATCCTCAGCAGAGAAGATACAGGTGCAGTAAGCCACTCATGTCTTGTTTTGGCTTACTGTTGTTTTCCATATCTTGTGAAATCATTCACACAAATAGAGCTCATCTCTCCCTGTAAGAATCAGCAAGTCTTTCCCACATTGTTACGGAGTACTGCTGCATGGAGAGAAAGGAGGTGACAGCTATGTGCTGCGTGGAGGCAGGAAGCAACTTGGCGCAAGTATTGGGGAAACTTGCTCACATTTAGCACAGAGTGGTTTAGTACAGCCCTTTTTTTTGTTGTCCAAACTTTACAGATCCAACACATCCATGCACAGACCCAACATGCATGGACCTGTGGGTGTTACTTCTCCAATAAAGTTAAAAGCCAATGCTAACTTTTCTCTGGCCTGTCCYCATTTTACTCTGCGCTATTACAGCCTCACATGTAATACTGTGTGCCATTTTGGGYGCCACAATACAAGACAGATACAAAGCTGCTAGAGAGTATCCAAAGTGGGGGGCAACAATGATGGTGAAGGGCCTTGAGTAGAAGGTGTATGAGGAGCAGCTGAGATCACTTGGTCTCAGCCTGGAGGCGACTAAGGGGAGACTTCATTRCAGTCTACAACTTTCTCATGAGCACAAGAGGAGGGGCAGAGACTGATCTCTGTGGTGACCTGTGACAGGACCCGAGGGACCGGCCTGGAGTTGTGTCAGTTGAGATTTAGGTTGGATATTAATTGGAAAAAAAGCTTTTTACCCAGAGGGTGGTTGGGCACTGGAGCAGGCTCCCCAGGGATGTGGTCCCAGCAGCAAACCTGACACAGTTCAAGAGGGCAATACTCTCAGGCACATGGTGTGACTCTTGKGACTTTCCTCTTATAAACACATAGTGTTGGCTTTTGCAAATATAAGGATGARTGCTATGTGTACAATGTTGCCTTTTTTGCGTAAGTAGCTTAGTTACGCAGATACAGTGGTAAAATAATCACTGCTGTTTTTGTCTTTCTTTTGTTACTCAGATATAGTTATAGAATACTTGTGGTTGTGAAAAACGAAGTTCACTCTGCTGTTAAAATTTAAAAGGTTTTAATAATGACAATAAGATACACAAAAGCAAAAGGATACTGTGCACCCTGTGCCTTGGCAGTTTGCCAAAAGCACCCCAAAGCATTGACAGAAACCTCTTTAAATACATTTCATGTTGCATCAGCTTAATGCCTATTCATAGAYATTTATGTATATTCAAACTTTTCTAGAACTGTTTAACATGGATCCACCTTTTTAGAGCATGGATGTTTATGTTCTTGGRGGTCACTTGTGTGTGACTCCTATTCCATAGTTTTAGCAGATGGTTTTTGTCGRCAGGGAAGTGTCTGTAGCAGGGGCCTCTGATGGGTCACAACACCCCTGGCCTTTCCATGCAGCTAAGCCCATCCGAAGATTGGGGGTCTCACCAGCCAGGCTCCTTTGCACATCAGAAGACGGATGTTTTACRAGCTCCTCTGACCAGAACTTTTTCCACTATACATCCCAAAAGCCCCGCTTCCTTCCACCCCTCCCCATCCTTTTGTCAGGGTCTGTGCTGATAGGCTTGGGGAGAGGCCGGACTTGATATTTTGTGATCCTTTTCTTATCTTTTGGTCAGTGTAATTGTAGCCAGGGCTTCCATTCAGAATTTTGGTGGCTCTTCCTGCAACTTTGGTATAGTTTTGCTATAGTGTGCCAAAAAAAAAAAAAAAAAAAATCCTTCATGGAAATGTTTGTCACAAACCATAATCCTACATGGAAATGTTTGTCACAATATTTATTGCAAGTTAATCAAAAGTGTTCTATAACCATATCTGAGTTACAAAAAAAAAAAAAGAACAGTAATTATTTCACAACCATGTTAACATATCTGAATTTCTTCTACAGATAAAGCAACATCATATCATGATGCACCATACATAGCATCTAACTTTAACCTCGGTGAAAGCCAACACTATAATATGTGTTTATCACATGGTTAAACTGAAGTGTTATGGCTTGTGACTTAAACATTTCCATAAAAAGTATTTTTCATATTATAGCAAAACTATACAAAAGCTAAGAAAGTCGCCAAAAAACCCTGAATGAGGCCCTGGTGGCAGTGGTCCTTARAGAAAAGAAAAAGCTCAGAGCTGGGGAAAAGAATGCATACATCCACAAAGAGATCACGATGCTTAGCACCCTCCGGGGCGGCGAGACAGTGAGGCCATCGCCCCAGAGCTATCAGCTGCCAGGCCAGCGCAGACCCTGATAGCAAAAGGGTGGGAGTAAAAAAAAAAACAAAACAAAAAACAACAACTTTGGGATGTGTAAAGTCTCTGGTTACAGCTCGTGGAACGTCTGTCCTCTCCTGCTTGAAGGACCCTGGCTGGTGGGACCCCCAACCTTCGGATGGGCTTATCTGCATGGACAGCCCAGGRRCCCCTGCTACGGACACTTCCCTATCTTCCCTATCAACAACTGTCATTGATACCAGGGAAGAGAGGGCTACACCGGAGGAGGTGCCGTGCTAAACATTTCCTGGAAAAGTTTGAATATGCATAAACACCTATGAATAGGCATTAAGCTGATGCAAYACAAAATGTATTTAAAGAGRTCTYTGTCAATTCCAGGTGTGCCTTTGSCAAATCGCCAAGCACCTGGTGCCCGCTCAGGCACCGTATCCTTTTGCTTTCTGTCCCCAACTGTCATTTATTAAACTTCAATTTTCACAGGAGAGTGAACTTCGTTTTTCACAGTCCGAAGCAGGGCCAGGAGCTGGATGCAATGATCCTTGAGAATTCCTTCCAACTCAGAATATTCTGTGATTGTGTCTGACCTGACGTAAGCATTTTTCCCTTGAAGRGTTTTCGCGATAACCCGCGTCCACACCGCGGAGCTGAGCCAGGCCGGGCGGGCTGGGGCCGGCGGAGCGAGGCGGGTCGTGCGGCTGTCCCCGGGGGAGGAGCCGGGCTGGGCCGAGCCACGACACGCCACGCTGGCCCGAGGCGAGGGCTGTGGCCGCCGGGCTGTGAGTGCGGGCTGTGAGGGCTGGCGAAAGGTGGCGGCTCGGGGGCACCGAGTGGGGCCATGAGACCCCGGAGAGCCAAGGCGAACCCGGGCACATCGTGTTCCGGCAGTGACTGAGGGACGGGGACAACAAGAGTGACAAGAGCCGGCCTCCCGCACCCGCCCGCCCTGCCGGGGCACACGTATGGGCGGAGGGCGASGCCCGGGGGGTGGCCGGGGGGCCGGGCTGGGCTGGGGGCGAGCGCTGAGGGCGCCGTGCCCTCACCCGAGATGGCGCCGCGGCCTCCCCGGCGCCGCGAACACGTGATGGCGGGAGAGGCCGGGAGAGGCCGGGCCGCGGGCGGGACGGAGGGGTGGCCGGTCCCGCTTATCCCCGCGCAGGGGAGATCGGGTCCTGAGGCGAAGGGAAGGCCTTGTGTGTGAGCTTGTGGTTGATAGTGGCGCCGCCACTCAGTTGTGCTGAAGAAGTCGTTTCGTGTGTGGTTTTATTTCCACAACAACCCTTGATTTACGCTCTGTCTTGAAGCTTTTGTGTGTTGTATGTGTGTGTGT